ATTTTGCCTTAACTTAAAATAGTTTGAATATAGCAAGAAATTATACTCACATTTATTTAAAAAATCTAGAGTGAATTCAGTCTTATTAAAATAACAATTTTTATCACAGATTTCAAAATGATATAATTATCTAAGCAGTGTCTCTTTTCTCTTAATTTGTAGGTGCGAAAAAAGGACCAGATCAATATTGAAACAAAGAACAAAACTGTTCGTTTTATTGGAGAACTTACTAAGTTTAAGATGTTCACAAAAAATGATACACTGCATTGTTTAAAGGTTAGTGCTGAATCATTTGAAATATTTTTAATAGAGTTAAAGTTTTAGTTATAAATGCTGGAAAAATGAAATAAGATGTATTTAAGTAATCTAAAGGAAGACAAAAAATAAGTAAAAAAAGAACATTAAAGAGATGAGCAAAATAGAGAACAAATAAGAAGATGGTAGATACAAACACAGCTGTAAAACTGAAAGTTTTTTTAACGCTGTAGTTGAAAGGAGTCACGTTATGAACAACAAACATACTAGTATATTTCTTTCTACGAATTACTAAACATATATAGGAAGTCTGTACATTTCTTTGACACAAATTCATTTCTGTAAGTTCCTTTTAGGGGAATAATCATAAACGTGTGCACAGGTTTATCTAGAAGGATGTTTGTCACACCATTGTTTATAGTGGCAAGAAATTGTAAACAATTTGGACGTCCAGTAAATAAGAATCAGTTGAGTTTTAGTGTAGTTCGTATTATATAGCGTTATGTACCTTTTCTGTCATGCCCTAGAAGGATAAACAAGGACATGGAAGATACTCCTGTTAGTCAAAAAAAACTAAGTTATTAAATTATTAAATGATATGTCTAAATTTGTTTTGGTTTAAAAAATGTGCACAGAAAAAGATTGGGAGGATAAATACTAAAATGTGGTAATGTGTTTGTAGATTTCACACAGCTATTTACACAATGTTAACTGTGTATGTGGCATTTGTTTAAGTGCATAGCATCACCTAATAAATACAGCAAGGGCTTTAGTGTATTAGTTTCCATATATCTTTCCAAAAGGAAAGACATTAAATATGTTGAAGTATTTAGATAAAGTTTTGTGGTTGAACACAGAAGATACCCAGTGATTAAACTTGGCCTGTAAAGTAGACTTTTTTTTGCAGTGACATTTTAAAATTGTTGCACACATTAGATGTATAATATTTTTTTTCTAACAGAATTGAAATGTGTCTTTTGGTTTTTCATCCCTGTTACTATTACAGATGCTTCTGTCAGACTTTTCCCATCACCATATTGAAATGGCATGTACCCTGCTGGAAACATGTGGAAGATTTCTTTTCAGATCTCCAGAATCTCATCTGAGGACCAGTGTACTTCTGGTAAGGGCTTGAAGATCCTTGCAAGAGCTTGAGGTGTTTTGTTTTGTTTGTTTGTATTTTTAATTTTTTTGGTCTTTTTTTGAGAGGAGGTGGTAATTAGGTTTATTTATTTAATGGAGGTACTGAGGATTGAACCCAGGACTTTGTGCATGCTGAGCACACACTCTACCACTGAGCTGTACCCTACCCCCCAAGCTTGAGGTTCTTGATGTACTCCAGAGGTTACACATTTTGACCAGTGCCAGTTATTTTGCCCTGCCATCTAAAAATGTTTCTACCTAAACTAGAACTCCAGCCGTTTCTGGAGAGCTGTAGGAAGTTTTCTCATTTGGCTGCTGCTGAGTTCACAATATTGTAAGGCGGGATTAAGTTCAGCCCCAAATAATTTTTGGCAGATTATGCGAGTGAACAGCTGCTCTAAATACTATTGCGTTAGAGCTGTCTTTACAGATATTCTTGGTATATTGTTACGTGCCATAAGCACATAAATTATAAAGCTTAAAATTTTTAATTAAAAAACATAAAATATAAGCTTGAAAAATTAGTTTAGGGGAGACGACATTTAGCTAATTAGGGTGCCAAATGGCCATCAAGTTTATTACACAATTAAGTTATTATGCTTATTGATAATATCCATGTGTTCGCTTGCAGCCTTGAGCGGGAGAGAGTGTGGTGGGGGTGAGAGTTGGTGTTAAAGGGAGCGCTGGGTCAGGAACCACCTCAGCGTTGCTTTTACAGAAGTGCTGATTATATCACTTTCTCCAGGTGCGCTGTTCTTTTAGAATCTAGTTGTAAGCTTGAATACTTCTCTGCCAATGATACTTAAAATCAAAACCATGGGAATTTATTTCTAATAAACAGAAATATTAATGTGAAGACCATCAAGTGAAATTGATTTCCACATTCTCTCTATGCTGATTGATGTAACAGGCATTCCAAGTTCAAAATAAATTTTTTTGGCCTTTGACCTTTGTTATTTTGTTTTTTAATGGAAGTATAGTCAATTTACAATGTTTTAATTTATGATGTACAGCATAGTGATTCATTTATATATATATATTTATTTCTTTTCATACTCTTTTTCATTATAGGCTATTATGAGGTATTGAATATAGTTCCCTGTGCTATATACAGTAGGACCTTGTTGTTTGTCTGTCTTACATGTAGTAGTTAATATCTGCAAATCCTGAGCTTCCAAATTTATCCTTCCCCACTCCTTTTCCCCTCTGGTAACCATAAGTTAGTTTTCTCCAAGTTCAGATTTTTATTGTAAAACTCTTCCTCCTCTAACTCAAGCTGGTGAGGTTAAATGAGACCCTGCGTATTAAAACGTAATACAGATGCCAGGAATGCTCAGTTTTTTTTTTAAAAGAAAACTATATTTTATTTATAATAGTGAACTCTCTAATTTATTCACTCGGGAAAGTTTACTGGCCGTGGTGGTGTGGCTGCACATTGCATTGCTGAAGACCAGGGTCTTTCCTGCCCAACTGGTTTTCTTGGCTCAGTGGATCTTTCCCTCTCTTATAGCAAAAGCAGCTAGCCTTTGTCATTGGGTTTGTTTTTTTTCGCTTTCTGGGTAGGAGCCTTGTTTATCTATCATCTAATGGTTTT